GCCCATAATTCCGGCCGTTGCAGACGAATAGCTTCACGCAAACGACGCATAACGTTCAAATAATATTCTTTGTTGACAGTTTGGCCCGGCGGAAGGAATTCATAGTGCACCACACCACGATAATCAAAAAAAACTGTCAACATAATCTTGATTTTTGATCGACTTTGCCGTGGTCTTTTCGGTCTTGCTTCACCTGTTGCACGATATTTGCTGGATTGGTCGATGGTTTCCAAAGGCCTTCCGCAACATTTTCAACGTGTCCGCACAAGAATATTCGTTCCGCAAACAAAATTTGATGCAAGTTCTTTGCTCAACAAAATCACCCATTGTAAAAATCGAAAAATTCACTTTTGATTGTTTACAAAAACACGTGTAACTCGGAGATAATTAAATCTTTTGACAAACAGACGCTTGGAAAATATTATAGACAGTCCTACCAACCTAGGAAAAAAAAATTACCTGCCTTCCTAATGCCCGGGAGTTTTAAATGACAATTTTACCTTACTTTTTGATCACAGTAGTATACACATGTAACGAATGGCCACATGTGCCTCGGTGGCCTAACAGGAAAGGCGATGGCACGGAAAGCCGGAGATTCCAGGTTCGACTCCTGGCCGAGGAGTTTTTTTCGCAATATTTTAAAATTATTTAGGGGGTCTTTTATATGTGAGATGCAAATCCAGCATCCCGTATGAATTCAAGAATTGAAATCTCAATTCAAAAAACACTCACTTGTAAAAATTTACAAGTAGAATTCGTTACATGTGTATATATATATACACGCACAGTTTCTGCACGAACATCCTGCGAATAGTTCGTAAGGCCTTATATATTTTTTGTAGATTGTTTTCATTATCTTTGTTACGTCTTTTAGTTGCGACTTCTGCTTTTACTTCTTCTACTTCTTTTAATTTATATGGATGTCTTTCTTATTAGTTTAATATATATTTATATAAGTATTAGTATTAAATAATAAAATATGTTTAATTGAGAAAAGAAAACTTTTAAAAAAAGAAAAAAACAAAAAATATATTTGAGAAGAATATTAATTATTATACAAATTCTAAGAGATAAAATTAAAGCTTACAAAAATATTCTTGAAAAGGAAAAAATTCTAAGAACAATATGTGTTTTTATAATTCAGACAATTAAAGGTTTATCTAGACACACTGTTATAACTGCATAAGCTTGTGCATAAGATCGGATTAGTTTATTTTCTTATGCATTTTTTTATGAACCAATTCATTTCCTTATGTATACGCTTATTGGTGCTTATGTTTAAATAGGCCTTAAAAGTTAGGTTGTTAGCTTAACAAACTTGCAAACGTAATTAAAACAAATGTTTGACAAATCACAAACCACACTTTATGCAAAATGTTATACATTTTTTTATACCTACTGTTTTGAGTTGCACGTTTGATTCAAAGTACAATGTTTTGTGGTGTAATGTGGATTCCTTGCAAGTCTAGAAATTTGTTATAAAAAAATTATACAAAAAATATTTTTGTCTTTTTAGTATATCTATTATTTTTTTCAGTATATTTATTATTTTTTTATAATATATTAATTTTTGTTATATATATTAATATTGTAATTGATATTTGTTGTCATCATGTAATTAATATTGCGTTTCTTTTACATTATTCTATAATTTAGTTTACTAAATTATATAGTCCATATTTTAATACAAAACAATAAAGCTATTGTAATAATATAAATATAATGCTAAATCTGCAATATAACGTTCTTATCTTAGTTTTTGTTTACATTTTAAACATTTGTGTTTGATGCGTAGAATATATTCTGTATTCGCAAAATTTCGCTCATTTTTTTTTTTGTGAGAACTTTATGCAGATTTATCCTGAATTTTAATAATTATAAATTTCACTAAAGTCCTGGAAATTAAAACAGAATAATGCCAAATATTTTTTGCTTTAATAAAAATCTCTCTTATAAAACTAAATTATAGCAGAGAATATATATATGCTTTTAGTTGAGGGAAAAACAATACACATGAGAGACAGATTTCGCATTCTCTAAGAATATATATTTTAGGTATCAAAATACACAATATCACGTACATAATATTACGTACACAAGGTCTTACAATTTAAACAAAATTAAAAGTAAGATATATTTAAGAAGTAATTTTTTAATTTAGAGGTGAAAGCATTATATTGCAGATTTCCGAATAATAGTATAAATATTTCACGTGCAAAAATAATATTTTCAAAAGACATATACATATACATTTTCCAACAAAACTTTATGTTAATAATACTTACATTTAAGTGTTTTGACTTAAGAGATGATTGCTTATGATTGGATTATACTTTTGAAACCGTTGCAGTTTTAAAGAATAGTTTTATCAGAAGTGATAATCTCTCAACCGATCTGCAACTGTTGAGTTTCCTGAACGTAACCGTTGTTCTCTCTGGCTGTGTTCCGAAATCGACTGATAATATGCCAGTTCAGAAAGACTGCATTTCATTTGACGATTGCAATGCTTATGAGCGTTATCTATCTTTGTTTAACTTTCAAAGAAAAACAAGGATGAAATGATTCCATGAGCGTTGTGATCATCAAGTGATATCTTATAATACACGTGATGCGGATTATATAGATTTCTAGTGCAGACAATCTAAGTAGTGTTAGCAGTAAACTTCTCAATTTTTCTTTCACTCTATATACGTCTCCAATAAAAGAAAATTATAGCAAGTAAAAATGTACACAAAAAATGTAACGATAAAAGTAACTATTAAACTCGTTACAAAAAATATAACTAAGTTACTTTTTGCGTTACAAAAAAAAATTTGTAACGCCGTTACCGTTACAGTTACCAAAAAAAGTAACTGTAACGGTAACGACGTTACAAGTAACGCGTTACTTCTCAACCTTGAATATTAATATGCATTTGAAATATATATTATATTTAATGTTCTATATCTGAAATATATCTGTTATATAGTATAGTGGCACGATTACATATCATAAATATAATATTTAAAGTACAAAGATACATATCTCTAATATATCAGAGAAATGCTTTTATTGCTGATATTCACTAGTACATGTAACATACATGTACGTTAATTATTATATAACAAGTTACTTTATAAACTTTAAAGTTATGAATCTGAAATATATATAATTAATTGCCGTGTCTGCTGGGCTCTTTGGAGCCATTGTACTTTTACAGAAAAGAAACATTACATCTAACATTTTTTAAATAAACATTTTAACTTATGAGAAATGTTTCCTAGAAGTCGGTTGTACAAAGTTTCAAACAAACGCACATATAATTTTTAAAACGTATGTAGATATTTGCTATCTGAAGCAAATATAAGAAATATTTTTTTATGTTCTAAACAAATTTTACTGTGTATCTTTAAAAACAATCTAAATATAATCTTATTATAATATTCTGAAAATTTTAAAACAATCTAATATTCTTAAGAGTAGATCTAAAGCTTTTGTAACGTTTTTGATATAAGGTTTTCTTAATTCATCTCTTAATTTAAATAAATAGAAATTTATGGTAAGACTCAAACTATCATTTACGAGTATCAAAGATTTGATTTAACATTAAACATGTATAATTTATAATTTAATATATATAATTTAACTATAAATTATTTTAAGATTTGAAGTGTAAAATTTATTTATTTATAGATGTTTTCTATTATAAAATAAGTGTTTTATTTAAAAGAATATCATACACATATATGTCTTTATTTTCTCAAGATATTTTTTACTGTTATTTCTAACAGTTCTAAACTGTGGAAGGTTCTCACAACTATAATCAATTTGTTCAAATTAAGAAGCATCTTTGTCATTTGAATATCATTTATGTACGTCTTCATATATTTACTTCTTTTACATATTTGTCTAGAATGACGTCACACTGCAGTAACATGCCTAGCGCCGTTGCAGATCAGCAATGCGCAGTCGCGTGGCATCGATCTGCGTCTTTCCACGAAACCTCTGTGCTGTCGCACGGCGCATATAGTATCGGGACTGGAAAAAAGAACATTCACGACGATAGACTTACGTTACAAGAGATTTTAGCGTAATACTCTGACGTGAAAGTGAAAAATGCAATTGTGCACAGAAGGATTATGCGGAAAAATTTAATAAAATTGCGATTTTCCGATAGTAATAAACCTCAGTGCAAAATGCTAATATGTTTCTTAAACAATAACGACTGACGAAGAAGATGTTATATCAAGTTCGTTATTTGATGCACAATGTGAACATTACGATAATGTAAACGGTTTTCAAATTTCAGTTGCAAGAATAAAGTTTTAGTGTGAATATAAATTAGACATTTTTTTACTGATTTGATTTTTAGTGAAACAGTTAAAATTTTACACTATGCGTAAAGTGACTAGTAAAATCTCTACAGACTTGACAGTTGCTTTCAAGCAGCTCTTCTATGATATCTTAAAACTACATAAAACTGTTTCCTTTAAAAAGTAGTCATTGTGCATTTAGAAAAATATATTGCAAAATTTATGGAATAGACAAGTGAGTGCAAACTTACACATAATAGCTTGACATAAATAATATATAATAAATATACTTTTTAAAGTTTTTTTGTTCAGCATATCTTATCAGAGTATTGAAAAACATTGAAGAATAATTTATGTATATTAAGCTGGCACATTTATTTTTCATTATTTATTACAATATAGAACACAATGATCAACAAATTTCTAACCAACATCTTTTAAAAACAACAAAATCTACATACACTTCAATTTGTTGCGGTAAAATAATAGTCTATTAGAATACTTCTGTACTTCTATACTTTTTCTGAAAAGATTTCTTTTTTAATTTTTTATGATAAACTTGATATATTGTTAGAATAATAAAACAACAAATAGCATTGGAAATATTATTTTTGTATTTATTTTTTTTTTTTGAGTGGCTGCGTTAAACTTAATCCTTAAGCTATCACAATCATAGATTTTTTCCGAAATAGTTGGGGTAAAATTTACAATACAACAACAGAGTAGAAAGAATACTGAAGTTTTGTATAAGTTTTATTTGATTATGCTGAAGTAATAGTGCCGGCTTTATATATATAAGTAATTTATTGTAATGATCATGGTGATAAAGTTTTACAGAAAATTAAATTTTAAACTGTTAAATTTTAAAACTGTTAAACGGTGTTAAACATTTTTATTCTGCTTATACAAATACAAACAATGTGTTTTTTTAGCAGTGTTTTTGTGTGTGTAAGATAATCAAATATATGTGTAGACAATTGACTGCTGATCTAATTATTAACAAATCAATCTAGCAAGATGCCGAAAAAACCTGCTCCGATAGAAGACCCGATAATACCACCGCAAGATACTCGCATCTGCGGCACAATCTGCATTTGCCAAATGACAATGGTATTGTCATCGGTTGCGCTCGTATATCTAACGGTCGCGATCTACATGCCAAGCGGTCGAGCAATACAATCGGGTATCAATGAAGTACCCGTAATGTGTACTACAATTCGAGCAGTAAATGCCGACAATTGCGATTGGGGCAGCTGCGGTGAATGGTGTTTGTCCAAGACTTCAGGACCTTGCGTACAGATTCATGTAAATCTTCGTAGAAACGGATCTACGATTCTTTTGGCAAACTGTACAAATACAACAAACAAAACATGTTACGGCATCGATCAAGAAAACGCGAAGAAGTCCAAGTGCATTGCAGATGAATGCCGCAATCTTACTGGTACCTTCAATTGCTCTGCAGGCACCTGCATTAACATCACCGATGCCTTTGAATGTGTATTCCATGACACGGATCCACCTCTTAAATGTTCAGGTCGCCGAGGTAAAATTACCTGCATCGATATAGATGGCCTGTTTCACTGTAACCGCGGCACTTGCGAGCGTATACGAACTCCTTACAACTGCGATCGCAGATGCGTTGACATTCCGACCAGGAACAAGAACATGATTCTTCTCAGTGGTGACAAAGTATATCTTAGTCAGTGTGAACGCGCTATAGACGTGACGACCAATCGAGAGATCTGGCATGAGGATCGCGGTGATATTATGATGGCCTCCTGTTATGGAATCTTCAACTCTTCGCTAGGTGTGGAAGCAGTGGATTGCATTAACGGCTCTGTATTGGAAAAGAACTTACTGACTGACTTAACAAACTTCACGTACCTATCTTACTTAAATATATATGCCACCAAACCCTTGGATGTTGAAAAAATAGTTGCACCACCAGAGCAGAGTTTGATTATTTCTAATGAGAGTCGACTGTTAATTAACCTTGAGGGATGTGTAAACACACTTCGAGATGAATGCAAGGAATTTCTTCATGAATACGGGAAAGATGGATCCGATCACAACGCACGTGCTAGATTTCCATGTTATTACGCTGAACACAACACGAACGTGGTTGTGTCACGTTTTGATCTTCAAACTACCTATCACGAATTCTTAATTGCACTACTGTTGCCAAGTATCTTGTTCATCGTTAGTTGTGCAACTCTGATTTTTTGTCAGAAGACAGTCGTTGTTGGTGATGATTCTAAAATGAGATTCAAAGGACGATTTGGCAAGCTAATATCAAAAGAGAGAAGCACGTCTGGCAACTTAGGAGATGCTGGTGGAGGAGACTCCGTTATGGCGCTTTGAGATCCGTCACGTAAAAAACATCACTCTTTCTCTTTTTTATTTTTTATTTTACATTAGTTTTTATTTTCTTTTCCCTCACTTTCTTTGTTTTTTTGTTTTTAGTTTTTTACTCTGTATCACTCTACATATTATATTTAGTACTAATGCTTTGTTGATTAAACCTAAAAACAAACGGAAAAGTTGTACACAGAATTGGCGATTGCACTTTGCAATTTCAATAATACACATATATTAATATTGTGATTTCTGAGTAAACATATTATTATTAAATAGTAGTAAATATTTATTTACTGTTAGCTTATATAACAAATAAAAATTATATAATATCTATTATTCAGTTTTAAGTTCTCAAACACAGACAAAATTTATCAAATTTAAGATATTTATAAATAATTATTGTTGTATTTTATGTAATTTTTGATAGAAACACACTCTTCCGATATTAGAAATTTAAACTCAAATTTTTTCTAAAATATAACACAAGTGAAACGCGTAATTAGAGGCTATAATTGATGAAAACGTTTACAGTATTTTTATTGCGTACAATTAATTCCTTCCAAATTTAAACAACGTATTAAGCAAAAGGCATTCTAAGTGCTCGTAAACTTTTTAAATGTTTAATTGTCTCAAAGTAGAGAGATAATTGCAATTATAAATAACACTTTTTACGTGATACACATCATGTCATTGCAAATGACACGTTATACGTGTAAACTTATTAAAAAAGATACATTTTAAACTCTAGCGGTCAAACTATGCTTGCGAGTGTTAAAAAAAATAGAATTTAGTAGAGATTACCAACATACAAATACTATTTACAAAATTTTTAATTATTGCCCGTCTAGTTGTCAAAATAAAGCCGTGGAAAGATTGCAATATTTCTTGATGAGGTACAGTTAGGTTGGACAGTTAACAACGACAACGACGTCTCTCGTACATAATAATAACATACTTAATAATAGTAACATACTTGATCTTGACACTATTTTTTTTGTAACTTTTTGCTTTTGTCATACTCAAAATTGCTTTTAAGCATTTTTTAAGTACCTATATCAAAATTAAGATCTTTTTAGCAGTTTTGTTTGACAGCTGAGCACATTGATGACAGATTTGACTAGACGTGCGCGACGTTCAGTAAGATGGACAATCGCTAAAAGTTTATCGTATCGGCAAAAGAAAATAAAATATTGGTTACAAAAGTTGTTGAGCAATAAAACTACTTATTTATTCATAACACTAATAATAGGTTGATAAAATAAAGACTAGAATATTCGTACGACATAAATCAAGTTTTGAGAATATTTGGTAATTATTTAGATTAAAGGCGTCCTCACCGATTTTGATGACCTTGAAAAATGATGTCAACATTTTAAGCTTTTCCTTGTACATATGGCCGCCGGCTTTAGTTTTCGAGATATTCACAACAAACTAACTACTTAGGTGGCAAAATGTATACAAAGACGGGCTACGCTCGTTTTTGCAATATATTTTTGAACTAAACTAGTTCTTTCCTAGCTACACACTTACAACACAAACATATTACGTAAATGTTTATGTTGTAAGTGTGTAGCTAGGAAAGAACTTTGCTCCTCTCCCTACATCACCCCGAAAAAAACCGAATTTCTACTAATATGTTACTGCAATATAGTAACGTACATTATGCATCGTGACATTAATGCTATTATAAGAACACACGTTGGGTTAGGTTAAGTTCTTTTGAGGGGGATACAGGAGGGTCCCCCTGCCTACACGCTCACAACACAAACAAAGAACAACATAAAGAATAAAGTATAATTGTGACAAATTTAAGTAAAGTTTTTCGTGAATATCTTGAAAAATAAAGCCGAACGTCGGTCATAAGGAATGTATAAGGAAAAGTTGTCCAGAATTGACCTTGACAACATATTTCAAGATCTTCAAGATAATCAAAATCAGTGAGGATGCTTCTAATCTAAATAATTACCGAATATTTTTCTATAGAATAAGATTAAACGGTAATTTATATACAAAGTGGGCCTCCTCACTGATTTCAATGAGTTTGAAATATGTTGTTTAGGAAGTTATTCTGAACAACCTTTCTCTACACATGTTACCGCCGCTCGGCTTTAGTTTTCGAGTTATACACAGAAGAAGTTTCATAAAAGAATCTTTGTTTTCCAACGCCGTGTCGATTTATGAAGTAAATCATTTGGTTGTATCACACAGTATGGTACACGGGGAGGGGATGCAGGAGGTGAAGCGGAACTCTTCCTTTTATTACGGTATATAATTTTTGAAACAAGACTTCAGTAATATAAAGAGTCGTCTACAATGGGAGAAGGCAGTATAGAGTAAGAAGTAAGGTTCTTGGAGTTATTTCATTTTTGTCTATACAAGTAATTATTTCGCGTTTTTTGACACACGTTTTTCATTAGCTACAGTAAGGCAGTAGGCAGTGCAAAATGGGAATTGCCCATTTCGTCATTCTTGTTGTTTATTCACCAAAAAATAGTTTATTCTCTACACCTACAGCTTTACTACCTTCATTGTAGACTAGCCATAATGTTATAAGCGTGTAGGCAAGAGGAGCTACGCTCCTTCTCCCCGAAAAACATAACTGAACTCAATCTCTAATATATTACGATATAGTAATATACATTATGCATCGTACGTTAAGTTAGAATTTTTCGAGGGCGCAGTTCCTTTGCCTACACGTACAAACAACATATTTACTTTAGAAATCGTGGTGTTAGAAAACAAATAATTCATTTATAAAACTTCTTTTATGTATAACTCGAAAACTAAAGTCGAGCAGCGGTAATATGTGTAGAGAAAAGTTATTCAGAATAACGTCCTTAACAACATATTTCAAGCTCATTAAAATCGGTAAGAAGGCCCACTTTGTATATAATTACCGAATAAACTTTTGAATGAAAATGTTGCGCGATAACTACTACGGAGAATAAAAAGGACCAGATGCGCACAAAATAAAACGGACACGGCAGGATATGTCAATCAGACACAAATTTAATCAGACACGACAAAAAATGGACATATAATAGACTCAATTGAACAGTTTCAATTGAACACATTAAACAACGAAAACCCAATCCAATTTATAACATGGCACTGCGATTGTAGTATACACTGACAAGCGATATGCATCGTGACAATTAATGATATATTAATGATATTAACATAGGTTAGACTCGGTTAGGTTTTTTCGGGGGAGAAGAGAGTGTAGGGCGAGGAACGGAGTCACACACGTGTACAATAGTGTATGATACAAATAAAATATTTACTTCTCAAATATACACGGTGTCGGAAGTTTTTGTTGTTTATTATGTCCGATTGAAACTGCGTCCGATTAAGACTGTCATGTGTCTGTTTCAGCTTGTGTCTAACAAGGAGAAGGCACGATGTGTGACCAATCGATTTCACTGAAACTTTTTGTATCGATAGGTCACTATGCCAAGTGTTAGAGGGTAAACGCATAAGACGCATTACTCAAGCGTTTGCGAGAAAATTGCAATTAAAAATTTTCGAGCGACATAAGTAGATATAAAAGAGAGCGTTTTATCAAAGAGCGTGTGGCGCAGCGTTAGCGCGCTAGACTAGTAGTAGCGGTAAGAACGCTGCTGGTTTGAGTCTTGATGATTTTTTTTTTTTTTTAATATTAATTTTTATTATATAATGCTATTATTATTCAAAATAAATGTAATTAATAAATTTTTTATTGTGTTTATAATTTATAATAATATCGGAATTTATAATAATATCGGATCGTTTGTACGATGCGCACATTGTCGACAAAATTATTGTTTTCATTGTTTCTATGATAAATTTCATCCAGCAACATGTAATGTGCCTTCTTGCAGTTAAATAAAACACGTTTTACATTTATTCGTATAGCACTGATTTTTCCGATATTATTATAAATTATAAACACAATAAAAAATTTATTAATTACATTTATTTTGAATAATAATAGCATTATATTATAAAAATTAATATTAAAAAAAAAAGAAAAAAAAATCATCAAGACTCAAACCAGCAGCGTTCTTACCGCTAGGGGAGACCGGGGCACAAAGTAACATCCAAAATAGATTGTAAAAAAAAAAA